CTATTGCAGAGGCAATGTTATTGCATAAATTAGAGTCAGTATTGCAACAAGTCTCTTGGGGAAACGGATATCCAATCTGAACATATTGAGCTTTGCTAGTTTACTGCCCGATAGGAAGGAAATTGGCCAGTTAAATGTACCTTCGCTGACTCATGTGCCAATTAGCTTGAGGAATTGGTGGCTGATTAAGTCAAATGCCCACATTAAATTAAATTGGCATACTGTAGTCAGAAGTTCAATTTGCATCATATCCACTTCTGATTTAACTTTTATTTTAAACTGCCATGGTTTACTTTGTGACTGCCTGAGGATTTATGCAACTGGAGCTTTTACATTTGTTCATTGCTGATAGAGACCAGGGATATCTTAGCATGGTGAAGATGAAATATGGATCATTTATTACAACTGCTGAAGACTGATTTTAAGTATGATATATTGATATCACAATGGTAAGTGAAAACCCAGTAAAGGGTAATAACTTTCTATTTACAGTGTAAGTTTGAGAGTTCAATACCTTAGCTTAGTCAGACAATAAATCATCAGCCTGCTGCTCTTGCATAAGCAGACTATTCAGATACTCTCATCTGCCACCTTAAGAAATACTCCACTCGTTGCTGGAACAAAACAAGATGTTAAAAGGTCTGTGTTGTAACATGTAGTGTTGCATCTTTTTTGTTCTAAGTACTGTCATGGTGAAGTGCCACTCAGTCTTTTTCCATAGAAAGTGAAACAGCAGACATTCAACAACTTGCATTTATACATTGCCCTTCACAGGATAGCGTTTCAAAGTGCTTGACAGTGGCAGAACTTGATTTCAAGCTGGAGAGAGAGGGAGATGACAGTCACACTACTTTACAGTATATCCTGTGATGTGCTTTGGGATGCCTCGATGACCTAACAAGCCGCCATATCAAATACAAGGATTATTATTACTGTATTTATTATATTTGAAACAGCTGCTTTAAATATTTTTGGCTTTTGAATACCACTCCTTTAGTTGGGCATCTGGAGGTGATTGTCATTCATTTTTCCATTTGCTAAAAGCAGGTGAAAAGTTTAGACCAATTGACATTGAAGGTTGAGCTGAACTGGATTTAGTGGAACTCTGTTGTATGGATTATTTGCTGTCATTGTTGGTTATTTGCATCCGTGGTTGTATTTGTTCATCTTATGGATCAAGCGGAGTGAAATAAATGGTCAATAATTCATTTACACCTTTTTGGCCCTGTGTTTATCCTGTCAAATGAAATTATAATAATAATCCTTGCATTTGATATAGTGCTTTATTGCATCTTCTAGACATCTCAAAGTGCCTCACAGAATATACTGTAAAGTGAATTGACTGTATATTTTGTGGGCGAATTAGCATTGTATTTAAAATTAGAAAGTAGAAATTTTTAAAAATGCTGTAGCTCAGTGGTTAGAGCACTTGCTTTGCAAGCGGGAGACCTGAGTTCAATTCCAGGCAGGTCAGGGCGAAACCTTGGGCAAGTTTCCTTACTCCACACAGAGCCTAATAATAATCCCTCCAAAACCAAAAGCAATAATAAATTGGTCATTTTCAATCTACGACTGTGTGTGGGACATTGCTGTGCGCAATTGGCTGCCGCGTTCGCCCACAAATATACAGTCAATTCACTTTACAGTATGTTCTGTGAAGCGCTTTGGGACGACCTCCCGACGTGAAAAGCGCTATATCAAATGCAAGGATTATTATTATTATTATTAACCTTATATTTGTTGCCAAAAATCTGTAAATGTATTTGAAATTGAAAATTTAGATCTTTTATGATAGTTCTACCAATTTGACATCGTGCAAACCGGAAGTCTGGAGCATTATTTACTTGCCAAATGCTTTGTTATCAGTTGTCATGAATAAGTTCTGTTGTGAGTCTGACATAACTATCTATTGTGGTTCTGGTTTTAACGCAAATTCCGTCAGTGCATTCTAACTTCAGGTGCTGACTGCATCAACTTGGATGGATGCTCACTCTATTCTTGGAGCCGGGCTCGTTCTCTCATCTCTGCAGTGTTGCCCATCTCTGCCACTATCTCTCCCCTCTGGACTGCCTGAAATTCTCACACACACTTTCATCACATCCAGACTTATCTATTCCAATGCTCTGCTCACAGTATTCCTCAGCTCGTCCCTACACCAGCTGCAGACCATCCAGAACTTTGCAGCCTGTGTTTTTTTTCTTTTCATTTGCCCACAAAATACACACAGTCACGCTACTTTACAGTACAACCTCTGAAGCGCTTTGAGATGTCTCTACTACATGATAAGCTGCTATATCAAATGCAAGGATTATTATAATAGAACTGTTAGTAGATGTGCATCTGCAGTGGATTGATGGAAGCCTTGGTGCAGATTGCTAGCTCACCGTATGGTTGAAGGGACAAAACAAAGGACAAAACTAGACATTTCATTCAAACAACTAATCTTATAAGTTTACGAATGACCTGGTGCAGACAATGTGCTCATAATGTGAAGAATATCATGACTCTTAAGAAAAACAATTGAAACTTTCCATGAAGCACATCCTGTTTTTAGCAACTGATGGAAAATCATTTCTTCTATTTAGCTGTGAAAGCCATTTGCTGTAACCTTTTCAGATAATTTTTTATTATATTAGTAACAAGATTGTGTGACTTGAAAAACTTCTTTAGCTCTGCAATTTTGAAGAAAGGAACAAAAGAACCAGAAAAGGGCAAAGTTTTTATCATCTCCAGGTTTGAATTTGCAGAAGGTTTGCTCACCCGACTGCTCAGCTCTTCCCTGAACTACTCTAACACCCTGCCGTCCTTGCCCAGTTCCATTGGTTCTCCATGCTCCAGCAGATCAAGTTCAAGATCCTTGTTCTCATGATCAATCCCCCCATGATTTCCCCCCCCGCCCACCTTCAACCATACCGACAAGGCTGCTCCTTTCGTTCAGCAAAGGTTGGCCTGCTTCAAGTCTCCAGCCCTATCTGTTCTACCAACAGAGGGTGGTCCTTTCGCCATTCTACCCCTGCTCTATGAATCTCCATCCTGTCTGGCTCCCTCCCCTCGTTCAAACTCATCTCTAAAAGTATCTCTTTGCCTGCACTGTCAGTCATCTTTCATCTTCCCACTTACCCAGCTCAGGTCCCTAGCCAGAAGTGTCATGCACTTGGAGACATCCTAGTGACGTGAAATATGCAATATAAATGTATATTGTATTGTACAACAACCAATCTGAAGTGAATTTCTTACAATGAAGGATAGTTGAAATATCAATCATATTGAAATTTGGTGATATTGAAATTTTACAATAGCGAACATTCAAAAATGGAAGAGCTGGTCCAGGCATGCGTTACAGTTTGAAGTATAGTAATAAAAGTTAATACAGAACTTTGTTATGCGTAGAGGGATGTAGTCTTTGCAAACAGCAAGAGGTCAATTAAGTGGCCAAGATGAGGGTCCAGTGGAATCTTTACCAGGTGCTGTTCTACCCTGTAACGTCTACATAGGGTGAATTGGAGTTCAGTTTGGATTTTACTGTTGAACCTAACACCAATTAGGAGTCAACAGTAGAATCTGGGATTGCTTTAAGAGACCAATGTGTGATTAAATTTGTTCCATACTGCTCAGCAGTATGCTAACTACTATTATTTGACTGTGTTGCTCTTGAATGATTCACATTTAAACCACTTCACAAGCAGTTAGTTTGCTGAATTCTCTCATGTGGGTATTTTCTAGGTGAAAATGAGGTGAGGAAAGATGCTTGTAACTGTTATCTCTGTGGTTAATCTTATGCTCCCTCTATTTTCTGCTAAAACACTTTTAAGTGTGAACGTTCTGTTCATCTGAAATTATATCTGTAGATATTTATAGTAGGATCCCCAGTTCTAACTAGATGATCTCTTAAATTCTTAAGACTGAAGTGTTTTTAGACTAATGTGCTGGTCTAGATATTCAGGACCTGAATTTTTAAAAATAGTTTGTTGTGCTCCTCCAAGTGACTGATAGAACATTGAAATTTTGTTAATTTACATCATAATAATTAATATTAATTGCATTTAGTATAGAATCTTTCACGTCAAGCCGACATTTCAAATTGCTTGTCAGGATATACTGTGAAGTGCAGTGATTGTGTATTTCTAAGCGAGTGTAGCAATCCATTTGTGGCACAGAAGTGAATAGTTAACAGCTATGAAGTGAATGAACAATTTTATTTGGAGGATTGTTGGTCAGGACTCCCTTCTATTTCCAGTAGTGCCATGAGATCCACCTGATAGGACCTCGGTTTAATGTGTAATCTAAAGGTCAGCTCCTCCAACAATGCAACCTCCCCCCACCCCTCCCCAAAAGCAGCAGGACATTGGAGTCATCCTGGACGATGTGAGTCTGATGGGGCTTCCGAATAAACATTTCCACCACAGGTGGACTGGATGTGAATCGATGCTTCCTGCTTCAAGAACATGTCTCAATCCCAACATTTAGAAGAGAACCTGGAGAAATCAAATGTGATACAGCACTTTATATTCTACAATAGTACATGGCCTCTAAACTCCATGAATCAGACTGATAATTTTGAATTTTATCTTTTTCTAATGTTGTGGGAAGAAATTTTAAAGTTTCATAGTTGTGAACCATTTTTTCAAAGAATGTAAATGGAGAGCTTTCAATTTAATCAGAAGAACAATTCTGGAAGCAACCTATGTGAAAAATTAATCAGTGGATTAAAATGTACCTTTACTACTGTGCAAAAATCACTATTTAGTGATAAGGTTGAGTATATGAGTAGTATAAATTGTGAAATGTATGCGTATTTGGTATCAGCCTGGCCCAATTGGTTGAACTACATTTGGCTCTTTTCCTCTAATCTATTTTAAAAACCCTTTTATCCCCCAAAAATAAAGGTCAGGAAGTAAGAACCATATCAAGCTACAATTTATCTTTCCAATGTATTCACTGTTGTAAGTTTAGGGACCTCTCAAAGTTCAAGTATTAAATTTACTTATAATGTTTTTCAGGGGGATAAAAACAATGGCTTTGATGTCCTTTATCATAATATGAAACATGGACAAATATCAACTAAAGAGTTGGCAGACTTCATAAGAGAAAGGTATGTGACTCAGTTTCCACTATCATTTCTGGCACATTTCCACAATTGTATTGAATTAGTAGATATACAAATCTGAATAAAATCATGTCTGGTATATCCAATTTATTTACTGTAATAAAATGCTTAAGGAAAGTCAGCTAAATGTCCTATATTAGCCTATAATGCAAAAGGCTATGTTAATTGTAATTACAGAAAAAATGTACATTTGTTTATTTAAATAATGGGTGTATTTTGTGCTTTGAAAAACTATTTTTGTTTCTTTCATGTGCACTGAAAGGAATAATAACTATTCATGGTGTCCTTACATTTCCTTTACTTTTCCCCTCCAGAGGCCCACCATTGTAACTTCCTGTTGTGATGTGAATTAATAGAATTATTGTGGAGGATCAGAGATATTTAAATATTCACTAAGTGCTTTTGGAGAACGCTTATAGGTTACCTTCTTCCTGGCAATATTCACTAAGTACTTTTGGAGAACGCTTATAGGTTACATTCTTCCTGCCATCGCAAACTTAATTATTTTCATATATCCAATTACAGTACTTTGAAGTAAAATAATGTGACCTGAGCTTAAGTACCATTATCAGCATTAGTTATAATAATAATAATAATAATATATAATAATCCTTGCATTTGATATAGCGCTTTTCACGTCGGGAGGACGTCCCAAAGCGCTTCACAGAATATACTGTAAAGTGAATTGACTGTATATTTGTGGGCGAACGCGGCAGCCAATTGCGCACAGCAATGTCCCACAAACAGTCATAGATTGAAAATGACCAATTTATTATTGTTTTGGGTTTTTGGAGGGATTATTATTAGGCGTGTGGAGTAAGGAAACTTGCCCAAGGTTTCGCCCTGCCTGGAAATGAACCCAGGTGTCTTGCTTGCAAAGCAAGTGCTCTAACCACTGAGCTACAGGACTCCACAGTTGTGAGTTGTAAAGAAAGTTTTAAGCCTGACCCATTTTGTGGGATCACATTTGTGGTCTAGATAAAGTATACTTTACTGAGAGATGATTTATTGAAAAGTAAATCTCAAAGTAATGCCTGGCTACATAATATTAATAATAATCCTTGCATTTCATATAGCACATTATCACGTCTTCAAGGTGACTCAAAGCGCTTCACAGAATATAATCAATATCAAGCATGTATAATCAATATCCAGCATGAAGGCAACACTTGTATATTTGGTATACAGCCTGTCGAGCTTGGCATATTGTAAAGGAAGATCTAGGAATATTTTTTGGTGAAAGCTCCCACAGCTATATAAAAAAAAGTATAGTCCTTACTATTGTTGCAGCATTGAATCTTTGCATTTAACTTGCCATCTTTAGCTTCCCTAGCTTCTCTCTTGCTCGGCACCCAAACCTGCCACTGTGCAGCACTATCCTGCGAGAATGGCACAGTATAATTGAAAGTTGTTGTATTGTATATTAAAGGAAGAAGCTGTAAACTTCTCTTTTTACTTCAGTTGGAGACAGGCCATTTGAACTAATATGGTGAGCAATTAGAATTATCAAATTTTGGGGAAAATAGTACTAGCTGAATATTGCTGCAGAATCACCAGTACAATGGTGACTTTGCTTTCCTGGATTCAAGCTATTTTGGATCGAGTCCCATACCTGTTGTGAACATGTTTGCTTCCACTGAAGTGGTGGCGCAAATCCCAGGAAGCATGTTGTTCCTCCCTATAATGGAGTGACCAAGCAGCTAAAGAAGCAATTCCCATGGTAGTGGTTGATAGCTCAGTGATAGATAATTATCATATGCGAATTTATCTTCTCTGAGTAAGGTCTAGTTTAATGATTTTATTTCTCTTCTGTAACTCTGGATTAATGATTGATTCTCATCAACTCTAACTGGGCAGATTGATTGATTCTCTTGTACGGTTAGTACTTTGAACAAATAGCATTTCCTTTGAAATATTTTCTAATCTGTTACTTGAATATTTGACAGTTTTAGGAAGCTATGCAAAATTCTTTATTGATCTGCATTTATCCAAACAAAGAACAATAATTTAATTATGTAGTGACATTTTCTGCTGCCTTCGATCCACTTGCCCTTGTGTTCTTCATTCCCCCTTTCCCTGCTTGCTCCATTTATGATTCTTTTTTAAAAAAAGACAGGTTCCACATTTTGAAACAGCTGAATTTTCAATCCTTGTCCACACTTAGTGAACCATTAAATAGTGCTGAAAGTACACTTGTTAAATTAGGCTTAACATTTGCAAAAAGGAATTGTAACCCATATATAAATTGTGATCCAGTATCTCTTCAAATTGTTATTGGCCTTTACATATTTATTCAGAAATGCAATGTACTCTCCTTTCTGAAATGTTGAATATTAAGTATATGGGAATCACTAATGTTTTTATGAACAAGTTAGATGCGCAATTAATTAACTCTTATTCTTGTCATATTCACCTTCCCCTCTCCCAAACAAATTGATGCAAGCAGAAGGGAAAGCTGGAGGAAAAAGTAGTTATTGGGGAAATCGCCACATTTGAACAATTACCCGTGCACGCATAAGCAGCTTTTTACCAGACATTTTGTTTGACCAACCTCTTCACCTCTATTCAACACATAGAGACCCTGACAAAATCCAGATCCCGAACAACCTTTTCTTGGAACTTTGGTGGTCTTTATTGAAAAATTAGTTGACCTGAACCAGAAATCCTTTATGTAATTGAAGGAAATGTTATCATGTGTGGTTTAGCTGAACCTGGATGATGCCAATTCTCTGGCAGTTAGCAATGTAATATTTTCCTTTTATCGTTAAACATATACTTAGTATACCCAAGGGAGAATCTGATGAGTGACTTTTATTTAAAAATAATGCTGCTTTGTGGCAATTTTAGTTTAATTTGACCATAAAGCATGTTTTAAAGATTACTGGAATGGTATGTTTGGCAATTAAGGATATATGACTCTCAACTGTGATTATTGTCCCTAGTGACCTGACCACATAGCCAGTGGTAAAGTTGTGGTTTGATTCCGAAAAGGTTGTAAAAGTATGCAAATCAGATAAATACATTTGATCTGCATATCGAATGTTATAGACACAGTTTTTTCTAAACCATTGATTGCATGGAGTTGCAAATCTAAGAATTAAATTTTAATGTTTTTGCCAAATGTGGCTTGGAGACAGCATGACTTTAGAAACTTAATCACTTCTGTGTAGGTTGTTGGTTAAATGTTTATTTTGTTCAGTGAATGATGCAAAGATATGCAAAATCGGGTTGGATGAGTATAAGTGTGCAATGTAATAGCAGGGCCTCTGTAATGCTTTTGAGGAAGTGTGCACAACGACCACCGAGGGTTCTCCCCAGTCACAGTGCTCCCTGGTGGCCCGGGAGGACATATGCCAAACTCACTACCCCAGATAACTCGTTGCTGAGCTCTTTTCTATTAGAGTAAGTAGTTATCCGGAGTTTACTGTAACAATAATCCCAGAATTTGGCATAGTGCTTTCACTTCAGGAGGATATCCCAAAGTGCTTCCGTTGTAAAGTGTGTGTTCTTTTTATAATATAAAAAAGTAAATAATCCTTGCATTTGATTTAGCGCCTTATCATGTCATTGAGACGTCTCAAAGCGCTTTCACTTACTGTAAAGTGAATTGACTGTGTATATATTTTGTTTCAGCCAATTATGCACAGCAATGTCCCATAAACAGTCGTGGATTGAGTGACAAATTTATAATTTTTTTTAAAAGGAATTATTACCCCGGAAAAATGATCTGCCAATTGACTAACAACCGGGTTCCTACTTACTGCTAGGTATACAGAGGCATGTGGAGTAAGGAAGTTTGCCCATATTTTGCCTTGCCTAGAAATCAAACCCAGGTTCTCTCACTTGCGAGGCGAGTGCTCGAACCACTGAGCTGCAGGACTCGGTGGGGAAACGTGGCACCCAATTTGCCCACAGCGTCCCACAAACAACATGGAATGAATGACCAGTTTTTTATTTGGGAGATTGTTTGCCAGGACACCGGGAGAAACTCACTTCTCTTTTCAAATAGTGCCATGGGATCTATAATATCCACCTGAACAGGTATACAAGCCCTTTTTAACTATTCACTGTGCTGTGGTTAACCGTCGAATTGTGTAAGTTGGTGCCTGCCCATGTAGAATGGCTCAGTAAGTGAATTTCATGGTTTTCAAAAAAAAAAAGATAATACCTCTCTAAAACCTAAAGCAGGGTGGTCAAACTAGTAGCCCATGGACAGCAGCTGGCCCGGGGAATTTCAGGCTTGGTGTGACCCGACGGAAAAAGCAACAGAGAGAGGCCCCCATTAGCAAACACTTTCAAACCAGTAACGAGAAAGAGGAAAATACAGAGACACAAACAGAAAGAGAGTCCGATACAGAGACACAGACAGGGAGAGAGTCAGATACAGAGACACATGCAGACAGAGAAACGTGTACAGATATACACATAGATAAAAAGAGAGACACAGACAAATAGATACCTTGTTGCTGGCTGTATTATTGTTTTAAAATTTGTATAAATTTTTACATTGCCTATTTAAAGGTTGCAGTTACACAAATTAAAACGTAATTCTTATAGTTATGTTTCTGGAAGGGAAACACAAAAAACATTTCTCAAATCCAGCATCCAGCCCTTAGCAGCCAAAAGGTTGGTCCACTCTGACCTAAACTCACAAGTAAAGAAATTGTTTAAAACTGATTTTATTGAGGGGCTAATGCTACTTTTGTACAACTGGTGTTTGCACCAACTCTCTTGATGTGTTGGCACAAACAAATAATGCTGAGGGCTGCTATTATCACAAGCAGGATTATCTCGGACCTTTTTTTTCTGTTTCAATGCAATGGTTCAAAATACTTTAGCAGATAGCAGGGCTGCCTGCAAGCAGTTTTTTAGCTTGTGTCCTGCCTGCTCATTGTAGGAAATCTGAGTCAGAGGTGAAGAGGTGAAAGTCGCATTCATTCCATGCATGATTTTGAGAACACATGACCAGAGCTGCATTTCATTCA